TGGAACAGAAAGAAGGTGGCTGTTCAGCAGTGGAAAGAAAAATGACATTTTGAAACACTTTCAAATGTACAGTTTAATAAACTCCACTTGTGTGTTCGTAATAAATGAATTGTAGTTATCTGTGGAGTGGGAAGATCCATCACACTGTGTCGAGTGAGTTAGCTTCTGCATATATACTATTCACGGCCCATTATGTGCTCTGTCTAGTATGAGTGTTCTTCAAAAAAAAGCAGAACAAACCACTTGTGCTCACTCTATTCTAGGTCACCAGAATCTTTGGTAAAACAGGTCCACTTATCTGCTTCAGATCGGAAGCTAAATTTAGATAAGCGCTGACTTTAGCAGTCCCACCCTTCTGCAGCATGAGCAGTTTCATTTAATGTGTTCCAAACACCTTCAATAACACTTCAGTTCTGAAGAGCCATAGAATTATGCTGATCTTCCATGCATATCACTAGACTATGAGACAGTGAGCCCTGGCAGATACGGATAACAACATGCTGAGATGGAGATAATATGTTCTGTGCCCAGAATGCCAACACATTGCCTTGGCTCTTCCTTTCCCCCTCTTTGTGATCAGCATTTTCTTTTTTGAAAGAGAAGAAGAAATAAATAAACATAAAAATGGCATCATCACAAGAAACTTCATACAGTATAAAGAGCTCACATAACAATGCCAATACTTCATTCTAACAGACACTTAAGCCCAAGAAAGCAGAGACCTCACCCTATGCTTCTAATGTACATGAATCTGTACTATTTAAACTGTTAGTTGACTGCTCAAGATGAACTATATCCCTAAACACAATTAGCCAGCAATGTAATATGTCCATAATGGGTTCATTCCACAGTTTAAGGATACTTTTCTCAGTAGTTGTTATTCTCAAATTGAAGTTCTATATTGCATTGCATTAAAAATGTAGTGTCTCATCATTAGGTAGAAATAAACAGGGATTAGGATATCAATACAATGTAAAACTGAGTTTCCAATCAGTTAAATCCCAAGGTCCACAGTTCGCAATTCCAAATTTCTCTCACACCTACGGTGTTATAAACTGTTTGAAACTCTAGAACCAATCCAATCAGCTACACCATATACAGTGGTGTCATGTACAGTATCTAGGGTTTAGGATGTATGTGGCTGTCCTAAACCCTAGATACATGAAATAAGAAGAATTAGAAAGGGGCTAGTTACCTTTGAGATCCTAAAATCATAGAGACCATTGTTGTTTAATATGTCATCAGATGTGTTAATGCCTTTCCTTGACCAGTTTGGATAAACAGAAGATTGGTTTCCTGTCATAAGAAAGTAACTGTATCAAATCAAAAAGGATTAATGGAACTTGAAGAAAATACCCATATGTTGTTCATCACTTTTCAATGTTTTTTAAAAATAAATACAGTGTATCAGATCAGTGAAAAGAAATCTGCATGTATGTATACATCTGCATAATACATCCATCTACAGTAAGCCTTTGAAAAACTGTAGGAAATTAGCACATTTTGAGAATAATCCAGTTTCCTTCACCCTGACTCATGCCAGCCGATGCATCAATCTTTCTAATTAAGACATGTAATAAGTTGTGTCCTCCATTGTTCCAGAAAATAATTATTTTGAGGTCATTGATATTCTTGTAACCCTGATATTGCTCATGCTTGCATGAACAAGTGATTGCATTGTGTTTCTGGAATGGCCACAGTGTAGTTTCCACAGGAGGAAGGTCATGAAAAATGAGGTTCATATAATGTAGATACTCAACTTGTCATGGCAAAATAAGAAGCATGGCCTATTTCACTGAAATTATCATCATGAAACAACACATTCACATTCAAGCCTGTCAGTGGGACTAACACAGTGTGAAATTCTTGTGCTATTCATTACGGGTTCATAAGTCTAACTAGGAGATTTTAATGAATGCAAAAATACTTCACTGTTTTTGTCTTTGCACACTGAAATCTTAAAAATCTTAATTCACAAGTAAATCCTGAACCAGTAGAAAGCTACTCAAGCAAAATAATTAAGAACATGTTTGAAATTTAATTAAACCATGAGACATTTAAATGTATTTCTGCTCCATGAAACTGTGGTATTATTTCTGACAGCCTTTCTGACCACAACACAATACTTTTTATTTAGTCAGTTAAACAGCTCTCTATGATTAGCAGCTTATTCGCAGTATAGAGGACACTTTATTAAAAACATATTTTTTGGTCTATATTCTGTGGTTATCTAACACAACCTACAGTATTTAACGACTTAGTTTCCACGTGTAATGTTCTTAACTTAAGACTTATTTTATGTGAAATAAAGATAGAATTGTTATATATTCAAATTTTCCTGGGATTGTCTATAATTCCATGTTTCGCAAATGAAGGAAAATGTGAAGGGAGTAATAATAAAAGTCGCCATCTGTATGGAACATCATGAAAAGTGCAAAGGATTAAATCAAGAGAGATAGTCTACATGTAGTATATAGTTTAGTATAGTGTTAAATGATTTTGTTGATGTACTGGGCTCTTGTTGCATTTAAATTTGGGAGTGTTGCCACCCACGCTCCTTTGCAAACATAATTGTTAGGAGCATTAGGTCTGTATATTAACTACTTTTAGGCATTTTAATTATCTTGTTTTCCTAAGTCAAATATCGAAACTTAGATTTTGTATTTCAAAGCTTGTAAATAAAGCTTACAAGATTCTATAAGGTTTGTATTCATTTGAAAAAAACAACATCTACAAGCTCTATAACGTGTAGCATCTCCTTAGTTCTTTCTCAACAATTCATCATAATGTGTTAAATTTTGTCAACAAATCTAATCAAACTGTTAATAACTCCTGAAAAGAAATAAATAGCTTTCGGTAAAATAATTTGTTGTGGCCACTTTAACACCTTTCACATTACATCTTTTATAAAACTGCCCAGTATTGCTGTATGACAAAAATTTCTATATACCATTAAAAGAAAATTTAAAAAAAAAGGTTTTTAAAGGTATGCCACTTAAACATTTTTAAACAAATTTAAAACTTAGAAAAGTCAATTTGTGAAGATTAAACATAATCTAAATACTGAAGTCAGTCTTTTAGTCTCATATGGCTTTTGGAAAAGCATTACATAATAGAACTACATACCAAGAACAACTCTATTTGGGAAGAAGAGTCTGTTCTACACTGCATGAGAAGACGATTTTTGAAGGCTGGGCAGAGCAAAACCCGCTGACACCTTTCATTTTGATGGCAGAATTGTAATAACATTCTCAAACGTAATGACAATATATGCAAGAAAGCCAGGACAGGAGTCTACTGCAGTGGTTTCCAACCTGTGGTATCCAGATTACTGGTGGCTAGAAGGGAAATGGTAATAATCCAAAGAGATAAAAATAGTAATAATGAACATCATAATGTAAGCATAATATAATCATGTGTACCTCGTCCATATATCAAATTTATCAATAATGGCACGAAACAATATTACATTTCTATTCACATTGTAATTTGCAGACAAACATCCTTGTGTAATATATCATTTTCTAAAATTAAATAGTTGGAAGCTTTTATGTGGTGCCTGTGTGAAGGGATGTTCTTGGGTTTCGCCATGACGTGCTTGGAACACTCTTTTTGAATCCCTAACTGGACCAGAGACTTTTAACTGGCATGCTGAAGAGAAAAAAGCCCGAGAATCTAAAACGATCGTGAGGCATCAATAGATGAAACCCAGCACAACAACAGAAAGGGAAGAGGGTGGAGAACAAACTGTAGTGAAGACCTAAAACTGGGAATACTTAAAACTATCAATTATGTCAAATTCCATCCTCTGAATTTGGAAACCTTTGCAGCTCTATATGAGGAGATTGGCCTAGATCACCATAAACTACTTTCTAACATAAGGAAAATTCTTTCACCTGCAGGGAAAAAAAAAACAGAAGCTACCGTATTATCAAAAAAGTAGAGATTTGGTCACAAGACTCCAAGTAGTGTGAACCATAGCATCAGAGAGCACCTCCACAATTAAAAAAAAAAATCCCAACATACTGTACAGTAAGTACCCAACACAAATTTAACTGGATATGAAATTCATTTGCGAGCCCCAATGATGACATCCTCTCAAGCCCGAATTCTACAAAGCAAAGAAGTCATGCAAAACAATCCTGTGACAGTGCTTTAAAGCCATGCTTTTCCATCAATATTACAGCGAAGTCTGGCTTTAAATTGCTTCTGATTAGCCAGCATTGTCGGACAAGGCTGTAAAGTTTCTAATGCTTGTCTAGTGCTTGTCTCACTGAAAACTAAATATTAGTGTAAACTTCATGATGAGCCAGATGTCCAATTGAGTTGAGACGGTCATTGATGGAACATAATGTTGAGAATCTGATGTCTGCAAAACAACATCACCAATCTCATTACTTACTGTAAATTATATTTTTCCAAGTACAGGTAGTATTGGTTGGTATATACTACATGGCTGAGTCCAATCAATCATGAGGACCTGGGATGTCTGCATACTATTCTTATATTTTGACCTGACTGGTCCACTGTCCAAAAAGATGTGAATCTCTGGTTTATAAAATCTCATCTTCAGACCAAGCACTAAAAATTCTATAGTCTTCCAAGGGCACATATAAGTAAATTAATATAGAAATCAGTGCTGGGCAAAGCAATCATATATAACGGCTTCTCTATATCAACGGAGAAAAAAAGACTGTTAAGGGCAATATCAGCTAAATGTAAAACTCAAAAGCCAGGCTTAAACCGAACAGAAAGCAAAAACTGCTAAAATCGTGGATAATAAATCAGTCATTTTTTACAGCGGCTGTAGATTCAAGAGTCATTTTCTCTGCCATGTCATAATTCCACCACAAAAAATCACTGTTGAATCCATGTATTCAGTCAGGCAATGCGAATGTATAGAAACAGACATTTAAGATTACATATGTATTTATCGACAATTTGGGATTAGAACTTCCCACAGAACAACTGTAAAACAATTAGGAGTGCTGCAGACTCACCTTACATCACCTGGATCCTCTGTCACTAGCACATCAGTCTTACAGCTGGCCAGGGGGTTGATAGAGAGCTCCACTGGAGGAACTACAAAGCTCTTACTGACAGGAAGCCACAAGCCTTGGCCAAGGCTATATGTTGACCTGAAAGAGCACACAAAGTACATTGGGATTGGAAAGATGTACAGGGTATAAATAACCACGTACAGTTACAGGTGTCCCATCATAAATAGGCATCAGAGTCTCATTTATAGAGTTTATTTTCTAAAAGATGTCAGTTCACATGAAACGGACCATAATTTATAAGGGACCAAATTATAACTCATAGTGACTGGAAGCACAAGGTCTTCCAATGTATTATGGGAATGCTTTTATAAGTAACTTGACTCAACAACATAATACACTCTTAATAAACGCATGTCTGAATTATTGTTTCCAAAGTATTCTTTCAAAATAACTATTATAATTTAAATAACTAGACGTTTAAGCAATTCCAGTTTTGTAAATGTCCTTAGAGCTCTCTAGAAAACATATTATAGAATATTAATGGAATGTGGGGTCTTTGATTATTTTTCTATTTTACAATTATTATAAATTGTATAACTTTGTTTTCTTTTTACTTGTTCTTTATGAAGGTAAAAAATAAATAACTCTAAAATGCCATATGAGAGTTGTGCACATTGTTTGAAACTATGAACATCTTAACTAGTCCAAAAATCACATTATGCAAATAAATAAGTCAGAAATTTTCAGTTCCCTACAAATGAAAACAGCTCAAGGACATTTTGCTCTGCAGAATGTAGAATGACACTTTGTTTAAAGCAGAATTCTTTTATGTTCTCATAACTGTACAGACAGAAGATAAAAATACTTTTGAATAGTAAAAAAATGTATACTTGGAAGTTACACTAAGTACAGTACAGTAAGAACATTTTCCCACAGTGTTGGACCTTAAAATGAGAAGGTCAAACTTCTAGTTTTGCAAATTTTAGGATATGACATATTTTACATGAGCAAATATTACCATAACAAAAAAATGGAACAGCATTTGAATAATAAATGAGAAGTTGTGAAGAATAAAAAGAAAATGTTGACTAAGAGTATTTAAACTGCATCTATATGCTGTTTTGTTTGTTCTCTGAAACGTTGGCACTGCCAGGTTTAGTTACTGACTGTTTAAAGCACATGACTTTAGTACAATATACATATACATTATATATTATATAAAATATAATGAAAATAGTCACTTAGAAAGAAAAGGGAACAATAACTACAGCATAATAATGAAAACTTGCTGTGAAGACATTGATGTCCATAAATATTTCAAAGCTATATGAGCAAACAAATAAGTAATGAGGTCACCAAGCTAAAGCACAGAGCCCAGAAGTCAATTGTAAAATGCATTGCTCCCTCTTCCTTTTTTCCTTGATTTGCTGGGGCTTTCTTAGAGTGAACATTTTTACAGCTACCATTTTATAGTATTTCCTGTTTTTCCTATTATTACTTTTAATAATTGACACTGCTGACATTATAGTTAACATCAAGTTATAAAAGCTGTTCAAATACTGTATAGCTGTTACAAAAAAAAATGCTTTCACTAAAAACTGGTAAGTACTCTATTTAAATCTGCTTATTAATAGATTTTTAAAATGCACTGAGTTTCAAGGAAATGGATGCATAATTTAACTTTGTAATAACCTTGTACTTAATGCACTGATACAGTACCGTGAACAATACATAGAAAATTAAAAATCATTTTCATTTCTGTGTCCAATATGAGTTTTTTCTTGCTGTATACCTAGTTTTACAATCATATCTAAACACAATAAGCATGTTTGGATTAGAAAAAAATAATCTTGAAAGAAATCCTAAGAGTATTAATTTTTATATATAGCCCCCAAAAATATATTTTCCAATTAGAAATGTAGACAGCGTTAGTATAAGACTGGGGAGAATATATTATTGGTCTTGCTTTATTTCAAAATTACACAGTAGTGTGTGTGTGTAAGAGATAATTTTGGTTGAATTCAAATGAGATAAACCCCATTACTGACAGGGCCGTTATAATGAAATACACAAGTGTCCTGTGGAGAATGGAGTATTACATTAGGTTTATACTTTCCACAGGAGTTAAGGAGCTCATTGGATTCTGTGTAATAACCACTAGAGGACTGGTGTCTAGCTCTGTCACACTTTAAATGCACCAATATTTTTTCTCCAAAAGAAATGTTTGTATAAGAACTTAAAGCAGAATGGAAATGTTAGAATGTTAACAAAAAAGACCAAAGGGGATTTTCACTCCTGTGTGGGTATCACTGCATTGCCTGCCAGTATATAATTCTGAAATTCTAAAACTCTGTCGCATTTAAAGCACTGAATGGTATAGGTTCCAACTCTATAACTGAAAGGTCTGTCTACTTTTTATCAGCCCGTGCATACATTAAAAAGTCTTAATTCTGGTTTATGTTGTGTATTCCTGGAATGGACTGCAGATGAAAGGAAGCAAAAAGCTGCTATTTGTTACAGCATCCCCCGATGTTGGAACTCTTTAACGCCTTTCACCAGAGATTCACCCTCAGTTGGAATTTTCTAAATAATTTGAAAACACATTTAAAATAAAATGTGGCATTATCTTACTGAATTATTTTTCATCTTGTAGTTTTGCTTGATTTGCAATCATGTGCATGTTTTCTATTTTTATTACACGTATTAAATGAAGTCCTTTCAAGTGCTTTGCATTGTTTCGGCCTTAAAGACGCCGGCTCAGTATAAAATATTACGGTTGTGTATTAAGTGATATCTGACTAGGTCAGTCCATAAAGCATGAGACTCATAATCTTTGAGCCCCAAGTTAGATATGTTTCTATCATTATGTCTCATTTTTGGTATAGCCTGCCTTGCGCCCTTTGCTTGCCAACGTAGGCTCAGGCTTCCCTGTGTCCCTAAATAGAAAGAGGCAGTTGAAAATGGATGGAAGAGGAAGAAGAGGAAGTCAGACTAACAGACAAGCCTGGTAATTTGTGCCCAGAAGAGACCAATTTTATGATTTAGGTAAGAGACATTTGCGTTACAGTTGTGAAAATATTCTTTATTTGTGGTATCTACCAGGCTAAATAAATAACTGAGCTGCATGCTAATGCACTATTTAGAGTAGGGAAAAAGCTTTGTTTAGGATCCATTCTAAGGATTACTATCAGGGATGAGGTTTCCAGGTTCTATATAATGCAGGGCCTAGGTACTTACATTTCTTGCAAATAACCAACACTCATACTAGCATGTGTGTATTTGTATCTGTAAATAAATCTTTGTTTTGTTATCATTCCTGCCATGCTTTGTCTATTACTCATTGTAATGTTACTTCACAGTACAGGGAGCAAAGAAAACACCTGCCTATAAATGTCACGACTATTCCCCTATAAGTGTGTGTGGGGTAATATGGATAAAGAATTGTCAGTGTTTCTTTTTATTTATCATTTTAATATCTTTGAGATAATCATTTCCTTCTTAGCAGCTTCCTATGTTATTATTACTACTAGTAATATTGTACTCTATATAAGATATGATTAGATATCTATAAAATTGTTCTAGGTATTGATGGGGATCTTGTGTAGTATGTAGAACTACACAAATGTTAAATACATTAATGGGAGTAATATTGTACTGTATGTGCCTCAACATCAGGATTACTGAAGATCCACATGGGAGTGCATCACATGGTGAACAGAAACAGCTCAGGTTACATTCTGAGGAGATGTCTGGCCTTGATCTGCTAGGACCTTGTGAAGCAAGGGAGACTAACCTTCAGTTTATTACTAGAGGCTCACAAAACACCTTCTGCACTAGGTGGGTGGTGTGTGATTCTTGTGAATACCCACTACAGATGTAAAGATTAACATTTTGCCATTTTGCTCAAAGATAGAAAAGGAACAGAGGAATTCATTTTTTTGCAGAGAAAGCCAATCCTTAACAGATATATGAGGCAATATGTCAGGATCATGAGGACAATAACCTTGATGTTTCACAACATTTGGCTGTTGCAATGAGCAATTGGACAGATTTATCTACTATACACAGTGCAGCATCTTCATCTGACCTATCTAATCAGAAACGTGAAAAAGTCTGAAAAACCCATCTGGGCACTGTATTCAAAATGTTAATGTACTTAAATCACTATAAAATAATGAGAATGCAAATGTTTATATGTTTGATTTTCCTTACAAATTCCTTACAAATCATTTAGTAATATGTAGAGTGAAAAAATATTTTCCTAAACATCTCCATACTAAAACAGTTATGCTATTGTGCCCATGACTTATCAGTTATACAATATATAAACTGGTAGTACTATGGTAAAAATGTAATCTTACTTACTATGCAAAGTACATGTATCTTTTTTCTACATGATACACAGTACAAACATCACACTTTATCTGCATTAAACAAAGCTTAGAAAGTAGGCACACATATTTTCGAATCTAAACCTTATGCCTTCACTATGTGCAATATTAAGGTGTTGGCAGAGTTTTTTTTAAATATATTTAATATGCTTAAGAAATTAACAGGAATAGATAGCTGTTAGAGGCTCTGTATTCATGACAGATGAGGAAGGAACTGTTCCCTGATTGCTCGAGTAAAGACCTGTTTTTTTTTCCTATATGAAAACTTCAAATTGTCCATCAAATGCAATTGAAAAAAATGTTTACAGAATGTACAGACATCTTCAAGCATGTAGTAACTGCAGTAAAATGTATGTAATTTTGTGAATGTTCCAGTGCTAAGAATTTCTGAACAACTGAAAGTATACTCTTCATATGCTTTCCTATTGCTCTTCATAATTTACCTTCACACTGTAACTTCATCCAAGTGCTTTTCGTGTTTCCATAAATTTCTTTTGTACACATTACTAGGTTGTGTAGTACAGTAATTGCCTGGGTATAAATCTGTCACCTATTTCCATGGAGAAAAAGCAGTTGAGTACATTAACCTGTCTCAAAAAATAACAAATATTTAAATAAAGACCTAAAAACAGAATATAGCACTGAGTTATGCTGATAGATTCAATAGCATGTTAAATGTTGATAGTTTATCAAACCATTCAGGATTTAAATAAAAAAGACAAAGACGTGCCAATTTGTGGCAAGCTCGGTAAGAGTTTTGAAATCCCCCTAGAAGCTATACTGTGTCAGAACCAAAACTAGGGCCTGGAACAAAAGAAAAGAAACAAAAATGGACTCTTGTACCAATCAAATAGATACAGTACAAGGCAGAGTTAGCTTGCGGACAGAATGCTGTCATTAGATTAGATTAACTTTATAGTACACTAAAAGTGGTCATTTGTAATGCCATGAAGTAAAGATGAATACCTGTAACTGCATTGTGAACCAAACCTTTAACTGTCTTGATTGTGTGTAGATATTTTTTTTTAATGAATTGGTTCTATAATTCAAGCTTTGTCTTTACCATAAAAGTATTGAGCTAAGAATAGAACAGCATGTTTTTTGGTAAATATAATAATATGACCTAAAGTGAAAGATACTGAATGAAAAACGAACTAATAAGAAAAAAATAAACAGGAAATCATTGAACCTTCACAATTACATAGTTAACATTAGTATGAAATGTGATACGCACAAGATCAGTACTTATACAGCATTGGTACTGTGAGCTGCCCTCTCCTTTGTTAATTTTATTTTATATAACTCAATAATGTACATACTTCGAATACTTTCATAAATCATAAACATGATTGAACTTTGTTTTGCACTACATTGTTGCAGTACCTTGCAAAAGTATCCAGTGATGTTCTATTTTATTAAATTACAAATTATGTCCACATATTTTTAAGTGAATATTTTAAGCAAACACTGAATGCTCAAACTGATTACCTTTATGGATCAAAGATGTTAAATGTCACTGCATGTTACAGAGAAAAATCAATGCTGCACTTTAATAGTGGCTGAAGTGGGTCCCCTCATATGTGTGAAGTGCTTTGTCCACATAACATGACATGTCAAAAAGTATGTCACTGTCAACGAGAGAGCTAGAAGCTGTCATGATCCTCCCAATAAGAAATCCTGAGGTCTTCACCTGTAAATCACTTTTGGCTATTTACTTGTATGTCTTCAGAAAATTGTGTGCTGAGTAAAATGTACACTATTTATATAGGGCAGGAAGAAAGTCCTGACATTCAAAAGAGTAAAAAATGTATATATATAGTATATTCACTTCCCACTAACACACCTGAATATCTTCTCTGGCGCCTGCTCTCCTGTCACCAGGTCATAACCTCGCTCTAGGGTTGTATACGGCCAGGGACTGCAACACACAAGGAGTAAAGGTTACTTGGAAGATGCATCACTTGAACCTGTCAACAGAAAGAGCATAATAGCATACTACAACGAATATGTAACAAAGTGAAAGGATTCAATGTGCTAACCATACTGTAAATGTATGTAATCATACATAGTATGCTAATTATACTGTAACAGACAAACAATTTTATCTACAATGATTACATTGTTGAGAGAGGATGTTGTTACTATGTTGGTACCACAGTTATAAATAGGATGTTACTGTATAACTCTAACACAATCATTGTTTTAATTACATACAGTATACACAAATATTAGAAATTTTGTATAAAAATTAGAAAACTAAATCAGAACCAATTTTACTTTAAATTGTAATGATAAAAATATGCATTGTGTCTTTAAAAACATATCATATTTAAAAGCAAATAAATGTGTAAAAAAGAAAAAGAGGCCAGATTAAAATAAATGTTTTGAGTAGTGATTTGAATGATTTTGTCATTTACTGAAAGCCACATTTTAGCTATACTACTGCACTATATATCAGTATATTTAAATTGTTAATTATTTAATTGTTAATTGCAAATTGCTGTAGAGGTACAGTATGCAGCACTTGAAATGTTTTTTTCCATAATTTTAATGATCACTTGCAAAACAGAGGTGTAACTAATGGCATTTAGAGGAAGACAGTTCTTCAAGAATCATGCTAATACTATAGTTAATAAAGATTTAACACTTTACCAAGTTATCTGACAACCACATGCAGCTCAAATCCTTTAAGGATTCACTGCAGAGTAAATTAACAATTGAACAATTTCATTTTTTTTATTATTTTATAGTCACGCCATAAAAATCATTGTTATTCTGAGAATTTCTGTGAAACCAGGCATATTATAAAACTAAAGTATGATCCAATCTCCATTCATGACATATAATCCCCTTTACAGAAAAAAAAAACTTTATAGCCACATTAGATTTTAAAATAGTAGCTTGGCTGTGTAGTTTATTTGTTTCTATATTTTCAACAAATATTTATTAGACTAAGAAAAAAGATTAAACCACCATTTCAGTAACATCTAAGGCTACATTAGTGGCACCTACTGATCTTCTAAAAGCAGTGCAGTGTTGAATTTGGCATCCTGTACAGAACCATAGTATACTGCGATGCACTTTCAACCAATACACATTTTGATGAACATTCCAGATGGCTGCACCTTTATATGTTTTCATATCATATGACACATGATGGAATGTGTCTTTTTACTTACTCAACTGCCTAACCACCCAGAAACAGAAAGAAAAATGGATTTCTAATTACCTAAGAAACAAAACTTAAATTCATGTCAAAGTAGAAACTTCCTCAAAGATATTGATTTGAGGTGTCCGCGAGAAACAACGTACCTGTATGATCAGTTGTGCCATCACACTGACAGTAGTGTGGAGTATTGGATAGGACTTTTAACTGGAAGATTGAGGGTCCACTGCTACTGAGGTTTTGTGCAAGGTGCTTCATTATTTTGACATGAAATTGTACTGGATAAACACATGAACTAATTAAGTTAAAGAAATAGATGTACTCAGTAAACAAGTATGTTTGCTGAATGATGCTTATTTATTTAAGAATATCATTCAAATGCAAAAGGACACCTGGGAAGCGGTGAAGCATTCCAGATCGTGTGTGTATTAGACCAGTTGAATATATCTTATCTACTGTGAGAAAGGGCAGTGCCTTGTGGTGTACAGTATGTTAATAATAACCCAGTGTACAGCAGGAGGGGGTGAGGAATGTTCAAACAAACCTACACTGTGTGTTAGGCCTTTGGATGGGATAATCTGTATTCAGGTCTTCCAGAGTGAATTGTTTGTTCAAAAAACATTATAGAACTACATCATCAAAAATAAATGGATCCACTGATGATCTGATTATTAATTAATTACAATTATACATTTTTCTAAAGCAATCCTTGGGATTTTTTTTTTTATGATGCCAGTTCACTCTCACTTGGCACTTTATAAAAGAGACATGGGTGTCTCTTTCTAACAGAAAGGTCACAAGGCCTCAAGTGCTTACCCTTCGTTTCGACCCCAATCGCTCCGAACACAGAGGTGTTTGTGCACTGGGTCAGGGGAGTATCCTTCATGACAGCTGCACTCACCTGAAAAGGGAGCAGTGACAAAAATATTCATTAATCTAAAACCCAAAATAAATCGAAAGTGTCTTCTCAGACTGCCTTTCTCATCCATCATAAGGGAGTTCTGTGCAGTAATCATCTCAGAAGCTGCTCACTTTGGCAGCTATTATCTCTCCCCAGACCTCTCCCTTGGTCCTCAGGGCTAATAAACCTCAGTATATTTCCTACCAGACTCCCATTTGTCATCTTTGGCTCTGCATGTGGTGGTAACAGCAACAGCAAACATGAAATTTATAATAGGATTGAGGTGAGGAAATTCCATACATATCATTTTGGTTTCTGGTATGAAACTGATTTGCAGGAAGCTACCCTCCAACAATTCTCCACTAAAAAATCTGAAATCCACTCCTGGACTTAGTCTGTGGAGGTGACAGGCATGGCGTGAGACTGCATATTAGCAATACTGAACATAAATAACCATTGCCAATGTTCTTCCACAATGTGTTTCAGAAAATGTCTTGATTTCATCATCCTGTCTTCCAGGGAGTCTTCAGTATTTCTTTTGTCCAGCTATGATCATGTTTCTCACACGAACTTTCTAATCTTAATCTTGTAATGAAAGCACAAAACTCTTCTTTTTTAGGCTACTCTATGCATATTCAATCCCACACTTCTTTGTGTTGTCTGTTTTTGTGTCACTTCTGCACATATACAGACTATTCTGTAAAGGACATAAAAACTCAAAAGCTGTTGCATATTTCCAAATGTTCGCTACTTAAGTAGTGGTTTTCACTGTGCATGCAGATAATAAAGAGAAACTTCATATATTGGAATTAAAACAATGTCAACACAAGAAGATCAGACAGGAACTATCCTCAAATTTCAAGACAAGTTATAAAAATCAATTTTCTTTACAATCAACCACAAGATAAATACTGTGAATTAGCCAAAAGAAAAATATAATTTAATTATAATTATTATTGCGTTCATATTCCTAATTGCATTCACCATGCACACCTTCCATCCTAAAGTGCTTTCCATATAGGAGGGATCCACTTCATCTACCACTAAAGTGAAATTGCCCACCTGGGTAACATACTCTACAATTGCTTTGATGGGACAGCAGCACCACTACAGATCAAGTGGAGAATAATTGAATTAAAGGGGAATTTTAGGTTTGGGAAGACTGAGCAACCTCACATTAGAATTAGCCGAGACACCAGTGTTAAGAAACCTACATTTAGAAACAATGCAAAGAGATTCAATATCTAAGTAGAAAGGACCTCAGTTTAAGACATACCAAAGAATGACTTCATCAGTCCTCTGCATGGCTAACTGTCTAAAAACTGGGAGGAACTCTATGTTTGTATTATGAAGCTTAGTAGCCACCATTACATTAAATCACTGTATAACATCAGTTAAGCTCTGTTGCCTCATCCCATCTTTCAGCTCCCTTACACATGTCTTTGACATTACCTCTCCTCACAACTATTCCAGCTTAGCCCTGAATTCATGTGGTATTCGTTTGTGTGTTACAGTATATAGTTACTGTATGTATTGAGAGGTACACTGTATTTGTATATGGGTAATAGTACATTTCAAATTTACTCCATGGGGGTGAAATAAAATTTCTCTGATGAACTGCCTGGACAAACTTTTGTCATTGTTTAGAATCCCAATTATTGCAGATAAAACATACCATCAGAAGATATATTTATATTAAAAAAAGACATTTAAAATAAATACTTCTGGAAAGAAAGAAGACAGTACAATTAGGTAAAAGAAGGAAAAAAAATCTGTAGTGAGTATTGGGAAATTACAAAAATGCAGGGGTGGCCTTTTCTGCAAATGACAGTAACAGTCCACAGTACTTCACAGAGCATTAATGGAATATTCACTTTGCTTAATGCACAGTAATATATATATATAAAGAGTTCTGGGATTTGTTCTTGAAACCCTGTAAAACTGATTTATGATCTGTCAGAAGATATGAGCTGTTCAATTCATAAAACCAAAAAGCTCACTTGCTTACTAGTTGCAAAGGCTACTTCTGTGCCTCTTGAAATGAAGAGATTATTATGTTGATGAATATCCTTGAGCAATGCTTCCTTATATCACAGCAGTTTCTCTCTACAGTAGATGGCAAAGTTTAGTTTAATTAAAATAGATTTTTCTTAAAAAACCTGTGGAGCACTCTCAAAACATACTGTACATCAGTTACAATGAGCCACAGTGATTCATAGCAATGCTGCAAAACAAATTAACTGCAGATGAAGTCAGAAGTCTCTGACATCAAGTTTTGCTGAGGTATATCACCAGTGCCTTTACAACAAGTACCACAAACTAGGGTTGAAAACTAATGGTTTCATAACCTGTATTCTTTACTTCTGTGAGGCGATAGAAACATATTACAGTGAACCATATTTAGCCTAAATATTGTAATCCAGAATTAATGCAACTGCTACATCACCAGCAAATCCAACAAGATTTACTATCTTACTTTAGATATTTTTACTCTAACAGCCTTACATGTGTCCTTTCTTCACTTTATTTTTGTTTAATCTGAAATAAATATGAATAATTTACTCTTAAAATACTACCACTCCCACCAACAGCCTTTTAAATGTATATCACCGTATTCTAAAACTGTCATCATATAAACATGAAAAATCTAGTGCACATGTCCATATAGCTATAGTATGTACAGTTTCACATACAAATTAAATAGTTGCAAGGAACTACTATTTGTATTTGATTGCTTTTGCATTAAGATAACAGTTATGTCTATAACATGTTTGATCAGGAAAAATTAGTACACTTTACGCAATATACTGTAGAATATATACATAACTGTTCATTTTCAATTAAAACCTCACCTTTTTGGAAACTGAGTTTTTTTTTTTCCCCACTCAAAGTCAAATTAATATATAGTACACAAACAGCTGTTGTTAGGGTAACTAGCGATCTGTTAATGACTCCTAGATTTGTTTTGTAATACAAATGGTCCTTACTTGATCATCTGATCAAGTACAATCTTCTTAAATTAGAAATAATAGTATTACTGGAACTTCTTTGGCATGATGGAAACCGTATTTAAATGACAGAAAACACTTTGTTCAAATCGGTTGCTGTTTCTCCTCAACAAAGTTGGTCACATTGAATGCTCTTCAACGTTCTGTTTTTGCTCCAGTACTTTTTAGTATACAGTATATGTTACAACTGGGTCACAGTCTTTGCATGTATCGGCATTCATTTATATGCTGACGACAGTTACATGTATTTTTGCTCAAAACATGACACTAATTAAACACTATCCACCAGTGTAAATGCGGGTTACACTGCTTAGATTATGTTAAAAACAATACAACAAAAACTTTAAATCTGATTTCTGTCAAGATAGAAGCTACAGGTATGTGTATTGACTCTTATTAACTCTAGAAATGTGCTTAGATTAGTTATTAAAGTTTTTGGAAAAACTCCACTTCAAAACTGGACCCTAGACTCCTAATACTGCTGTTCACCTTCAAGAGCTTAACAGTTTAGCTCCTGACGTTCAATGAACTTCAACCCACCCATAATTTGCACTCTTCTTTTAATTCCCCATAATGAGCTGTGAACACAGATAGTCTGTGCTTTCTGTTCTGTTGCTCTGACACTGTGGAATGATCTCCTAGCAATATCATGTCTTGCAAGTCAGTCTGCACATCAAACTCTTAAGTCTTAAAACTCATTTTTATACTCTAGCCCTTAATTCTATCTAATTGACTGTATTAATTTATGCGTACCTGTCTCTTTCATTACATAGGTTTTTGTCTTGTGCTGATGTACAATGATAGGTACTATATAAAGGTTATTACTAATTACAAAAATCAAAAGTTATTATTATTTTAAATATCCCATTTGAAAAGGTGTGTTAGTAACGTGAAATTGCATTAGTTTATTCTCAATCGATGTGGACAAAAATCATGTTTGTCGATATAACCTGAGATTATTTTATAGCGCTAACTAGGTTAGAAAGGAGAAAAAAGAATTCGCTGACAACTGAAGGAAAACTCCTGTAGTATAACAAACCATAAGCAGACAAAAAAGCTTGAGAAAGAGGAGACCATTCAGTCTATCAAACAGTTCTCATTTTTAATGGTTAATTGATCACTAATCCCTTATGGGATCAGGGTGTACAGAAGGGTTAATCATAAAAGTTTCTCAACACAATGATAGTGTTAATACTATTATTTTTAAAAAAGCATACCTGACAGGAGAAACATTTTGGTGTGTAACAGGATATACTTTATCAAGCCTTTACTGAGAGTAATGAGAATATTCTTATATGTTGTACTACCACATGGTTTGGGTAATACTGTACATCAGAAAATTATTATGACCTAAAAATGCCAAGTCAGCATATGAAGTCATAGGCAGGGATACTCCATCTCCTGCTACACTGCATAGTGAATGGAGTATTTGTCAGGCTACTGCTACTGACCATCTTTTTCAGCTCTTACAATCTGGCAGGTGTTATAACTCAATTAAAAGGAACGATATATTTCATTATCCAAGCAACTTCCGGGTGTACTCAGTGTCACTCAGCAAACAAACAGTCATACTACAGCTCCGCAACTACATATTAAGCGTTGAATGAATGTGACATGATTTTGAAGAATATTTAGTTCACCACAAACCGTCAAGCTGAACAAATTTAAGTTCTTCTGATTGACAGTAATACAGAAAAAAGCAAAAGCATATAAAATAAGGATCTTGCTGAAGCAGCATTTTTGTGACAGTGAATTAAGCAGAAGGACAGACATTTTTGTTTGTGTCTTCATTCTGTTTACAGGGCTGAATTCTTTGTTGAATAATTCAAAGGTGATGCTCCAGGTGTCCTGTGTAAAGTACCTGGGGCCAACTTTAGGGTTGGTTCTGCTCATCCATCCAATCATGAGGCATATGGCAACATACAGCCTTTCTTGGCCAAAGAAACACTCACTGTTTCTGTCTAATCAACACTGCACTCATATCTCGAATCT